GGAGGAACAGCGCAGGAAACAATTGTATGTACAAGGAAGGGCTAATTACAAGAAAACGATCAGGGAGAAAAGAAAAGATTGGAGAAGAAAATATTAGATGAAGTCAGGGAAAGTGAACCATGGGTCCGTGTTTGGGAGGTCTTGAGAAGAATGGAGGGAAGGCGCATTGGTAATCTTGAGGAGGGGCAGGATATGAAGGATTGGCATGTAGAAGAATGTAGAATGTTTAGGAGGGGAGTTAATCACCGCGACCTTATAGATCTATTGTGTGTTCCCCTTTCTTAAGTTATAACGAGTTATAACTCATCATACAGTCTCAGGGCTTTAAGAAAAGCCAGTATCTGAGACGGCTCCACAGAGGTGAGACGGTTCCACAGAGGAAGGATTGGCATAGGGGCATGTTATTAGTTAGGGACACAATAAATGAGGGAAGGGAGGTAGCAGAGTTCTCAGTGGGGGAATTAGCGAAAGTGGTAGGAGGGTTGGAACCGGGCAAAGCCACCGGTTCAGATCGGATCCCAAATGAACTTGTCAAGGTCGTTTGGGAGGAGCGGCAAGCAGTCTTGGTGGGGCTGTTTAGTGCCTGTTTACGTGTTGGAGTTTTCCCGAAGGTTTAGAAGAGGGGAGACATCACTTGGGTGCCTAAGAAAGGACGTGAGGTTAGGCCAATCTGTTTGGTTGGCTCTCTTGGCAGGGTGCTTGATAAGCTGCTTGCTGAGAAAGTACGGCAGTTGTGGGAAAAGGATGGGAGGCATAACAAATATCAGTATGGGTTTCGTAGAGGGAGAAACACGGTGGATGCGGTGAACAGCCTCATAAAAGTCATAAACAGCAACAAGCGGACAGCGGACATTATTTCTGGATCCTCAGCAAGGGAAATAGAAGGTGTTTGGCTGGAATGCTGGGATAATTGTATAAAATGGGCAAGTGAGTCTGGCTTGCAATACAATCTAGGGAAAACTATGGGGATGTTTGCAACAAAAAAGGGGAACGTTAGGGAGCCAGTGATTAAAATGGGAGAAAGGAAATTAGAATTAAAGGGACATATCGTATCTGGGGATAGACATAGATGTAAAGTTAAACTATATAGAACATATGAAGGGGGTCAGAGCACGGACAGGGGAAGTCCTATGCAAAGTCACAGGAAGGATTAAAGGGAAAGGAGCCATGGGATGGAAAATGACTTTAAAACACATTATAGAGGGTGCTCTGAAGCCAGCAGTCCTTTACGGGGCTGAAATCTGGAGGGTAAGAGCACGAGACTCTAGGGTTAGTAGACTGCTGGTAGCGGTGGACAGGATGTTCGGTTTGGCGGTCGTGCCGGCATACAGGACGGTGTCCACGGACGCGTTGTGTGTGCTAGCTGGGCTGGTACCTCTGAGCATCCTTGCTTCAGAGCTACATGAGGAATGGTCGGGTGAAAGGGGTAGCATAAATATTCTTGGAGGCTTTTAAAAAACCCGAGATGATTATTATTTTTTATATTTTAAAGAAAAGGTTTTCTTTACTTTTGGACTATTACTAAGAAAGCTCTGAAATTATTATTATGTATTAATTTTTCATGTTTTTTTAAACGTCGTTTTTATCCATATTTTTATAGTTTTCAAAATACCAAAAAAATACTATCGACGCTTATCGACGTTTCCTCTTATCGCAAATAATATTGTTTGAGGAATGTATTTGTTTATAAACAAAAAATGGTTTGCCGAATTCTGCCTATTCATGCGATATATTTATTTGAAGTAGTCCGTGTTTCTCAATAGACCGCAACACAATTTTAAGTTACGTTTTTTTCAGAAAAGACATAGAGAACAACGGCATACGGTCGAGTCGGCCTACAAACACGTAAACGTTTACGTACGCGTGCGCATTTCTTTTATTTTTTATTTTTTATACACGTAAAAGATTCTTTACGTCTACATATACGTGCAAGCAGCGGCCGACTCGACCGTATGCCGTTGTTCTCTAATAGTCGAAAATATTCACGGTATGCCACCAATCAAGATGTTTTTAATTGTCTCCTGATATCCTCTGACCCTTATTTGGCTGCATTTCGGCATATCTGGAAGAACAGTGAATGTTTAGAGCTGGATGATGAAGCCAAAGGACTCCTGTTATAGAACATATTACTGAGTTGGTTGAGAATATGTTTTCTTACATAAATATTATTTTCTACTTTTACGTTCAGAGTTGTAATGGTGGTTTAGTATTTTGTTTTGTGAAATATATATTTTTTTAATTTTGTACTTCAGTTTTTTTTGGTCTTGTTTAAAGTTTCCTTTAAGTATGGAAATCACATGATTTACAAAATAAAACTTTTTTACAAACATAATTAAATTATAAACACTTCTTCGTCTGCACGCATATAATATATTTTTGGATCCCATTGTTAAATTAGTATCTTGTTATTTTATTTTTTCACGGGGGAACTTGAATTTTTTTATTAAGAAAGGTCTAAACAAACAGCTAGTGATACAAGAAGTGATTTTTAAAGAATTTATAAACTTATCTGTTTCACCTTTCACTTGCTCACGCAATCCAAACATTTCCCGAAATCCATCCCCCATGTTCATCCTTTAAAGGAGGGGGCGTGGGGCTGTTAATGTAAGAAAAACATTTTTTGGAGTTCACCAGAAATCATTACTAAGCGATAACGGTAAATCTACAAGTGCGTACCTTTACCGATATTATTAAGTGACACGCTTTACAAAAAAAAAAGTTTTGCAGTCATAATTAGACCGACGTTTTGCTAAAATTCAATTAAAATTATAAAAAAAATCTATAGATATTTTTCTTTTCACCATAAATAAAGCAGCTGGGCTACAAATTACTTATTAAAGTATTTTTTTCTATTTATGACCGCTATATCCCTATACTTCGATCCACTGTGCGCTGCCGCCCCACGCAAGTCACAAGATGCAGCCCCTGGATAAAAGTTTTTTTGTCCCGTTCAAAAGAGCGTTTTCTTCTGAATGCGATAAATGAATAATCACAAACTGTGGCAAGCCAGTTACACACAAACAAATAGCAATGTTATTTAATCAAGCCTATTCAAGAATGGCAACCATACCCATATGCCAAAAGCCATTTGAAACTACTGGTTGCATCATGCAATCCAGATATTTTTACTGTCGAGGATTTTCTTCCGGCCGACGTCACCGAAATGCCACCAATTGCAGGACCGAGTGGAATTGCAACTACAAGGCGTGTATCTCAGTATTCTTCCGACGATGAAGAGGACAATCTGCCCTTGGCTATGTTTACCAAAAGTTCTAATATTAATATTCCACACAATACATGACATGGCAGCTTGTATTGAGACTCAAGTGGTAACTGTAGGAAGATTAAAATTAGAAGTTATCCACACAGCAGAGTTTGTTGAATTAATGGGCCAGTTATTTGATTTTATTAACAAACTGAATTTTCAGACGTATCTCTTGGAGCTGAATTTTACCATCTATACTACAGGAATGATCATTTGATTTTAGATTTTGCCGGTAGGTTTTTACGTGGACTGGAACTATTAGATATTATTACGGAGAAGGAGCTCTTAGCAATAATTTTTGGAGTTAAAAAAACATTTCTTCGCTAAGTCACACATTGGTGTCATCATAACGGAACGTTAGATTCTAAAGCAGTGTTAATTATAATAAACATTTAAACTGATTATAATCAAAACTTAATAACTAGTCGTTCAATAATTATTGAACGACCGAATAACACGCTGGATGATGCATTTAAATGAATTCGATTTGAAGCTTCAGGTTCGAAAGAAGCTATAGCTAAGTTAGAACATGAAATTAAATCTGAAAAATCTATAGGTGGTTTTAAACATGTAAGACATCTGAAAGATGGTACAATTTTAATAGGTAGCCATAACAGGGAACAACAAGCTAAATTAGAAAAAACACTGAACTTGTCCAAAAGTGTCTGTATTAAGAAAACACTAAATACCGATCCTATGTTTGTAATAACTGGAATAGATAAAGGATATAGTGAAGAAGACTGTTTTGTAGAAGTTGTAAGAATGAACGAAGATATTGAGAACGACCTAGGCAAAAATGTAATCTCACAAATCAAGGTAGTTGCCAAACGAAACTGTCGCGATCCGCGTAGAGAAAATTGGATACTACAAGCTCCAGCATCAATAACAAAATGATTTTTGAAAAAACAATCGATCATCTTTGATCTGGTACGCGTATATGTCTATGAACATGTTAACGATGTGTTTTAAGTGTGCAGAATTTGGCCATGTCTCAAAATTCTGCAAAGAAGAGCAGTGCTGTTTTAAGTGCGGTATGAAACACGAACTAATGTCCAAACTGCATTAAGCTGAAGTTTGACGAGAACCTATGCTCACATAAGCTAATTGTCCTGCTTACAAAAGGAAAATGGAGAGGTATAAGAGTTTAATTAATTATAATGAACATTCATAGAAACAGTTATAACAAGTTTGTAAAACGTGCTCATGTTAACATAAGGTCTCTTTTGCCTGTCTTTGACGACATAACCCGTTTTATAATAAACAATGAATATGACATTTTTACAATTACCGAAACCTGGTTAAAAAGCACTACACCAACGGCATCAATTTCTATAAATGGCCATGATATTTTTCGCAGGATAGACAAACTCGTGGTGGTGGCATTGTGATCTTTGTTAAAACCACATTAACCCGGGAACGGTCGCGTTGTTAGAAAAAATCTAACATTTTATAATTTTTCCCAATATTTCCCACAAAATTTTTGCAATACAGCTCTACCGCCGTAAGTGCCTCGTAACCAGTGATGACCTTGAACATGCAAAGCGGCGTTCAGTTTAGCACTGTCGGTGGCGAGGTGCAGATGATTTTTAGAAAAACGCTAAGGCGCGACCATTTACGTTACATGTAGTGTTATAGATAATCTAACGACGCGACCAAATACGTCAGCGAAATAATTGTGAAGTGAGTTGTGTAATTTATTTTATTATATTAGACTTTTACATTTGGCTTACAGAATATGGATTCAAAAACGGAACAGCAGCTTCTCAAGTGGTTTGATGAAGTTCCTAGTGGCGATGAGGCAGTGGATTCAAATAGTGACATCGACGAAGCTCCTTCTGATCACGTAGAGGAAAATACTGATAGTGAACAGTCAGATGAAAACAATGTTTCAGAAATGTTAAATGTTGCTGACATGTCTTCTAGGGTACCAATAATGGTTGGTAAAAACGGAATGGAATGGTTGAAACATAAACCACATAAAACAAAATTAAAAACAGCACAAGCAAATATCATAACTAAATTGCCGGGTGTCAGGCCAATTGCTAAAAATGCCACCACAATTTTGGATTGCTGGAAGCTATTCTTCTCCGATGAAGTTATTCAAGATATAGTGAGATATACAAATCAAAAGCTCAGATCACTACAGTCGCTTTATAAACGTGAACGGGATTGCCTTCCTACAGATTATGATAAAATAAATGCGTTTATAGGTGTTCTGTACATGGCAGGTGTCCTCAGAAGTCAGCATTTACATACGTATAACTTGTGGAGTAGTGATGGGACTGCGCCTGAATTTTTCGCTGCTGTGATGTCCGAAAGACGATTTCACATTATTTTACGGGCTATAAGGTTTGACGACAGTGACACCAGAGAAGAAAGAAGAGACATTGACAATTTGGCTCCAATACGTGAATTATTTGAACATATCAATCAGCGGTGTTCTGCGTGTTATACTGTGGGAATTTTTACAACAATCGATGAGATGTTAGAGGGATTTCGAGGCAGGTGCAAATTCAGACAATATATCGCCAATAAACCGGCCAAATATGGCATCAAAATTTATTCTTTGGCAGATGCAAAAATTTTCTATACATACAATATGGAAATTTATGCAGGTAAACAACCAGAAGGACCCTATAATATACCAAATGATGCTAGCAGTGTTGTGAAGCGTCTTATTGTCCCAATAAGCAAATCTGGACGGAATATTACGATGGACAATTATTTCACCTCTGTACCCTTAGTGAACGAGTTATATACCAATCATAAGTTGACAGTTGTTGGAACTCTGCGGAAAAACAAACCCCACATACCAGCAGATCTACTTTCTGTGAAAAATCGACCAGTTTGCAGTAGTGTCTTTGCTTATGGACAAGGAGACAATAAATGTGTGTTAGTTTCATATGTTCCACACAAAAATAAAAACGTTCTCGTACTCTCCTCTTACCATGACGACGACTCAATAGATCCAGAACCGAAGGATGCCTTCAAACCCGAAATTATTACCTTTTACAATAAAACTAAGGGTGGAGTTGACGTAGTAGATAGGATGAAGTCGGAATATTCTGTCACCAGAAAAAGTAACAGATGGCCATTTACAATCTTTTGCACATTGTTAAATGTTACCACCATCAATTCGCAGATAATCTATGCAGCAAATACACAAATCATGCTAAAAAGAAGACAATATATTACCGACTTAGCCAAGCAGCTAACAGCAGCCCACCTACAAAAAAGAGCTTCGATTTCAACACTGAGCATTGCATTACGTCAAAAAATATCAAATATCTGTGGTCATAAAAACGTAATTCCGACAAAAAAACAACAAGGAAATGCCCAACCTAAACCACGATGCGAATATTGTCCTCTGAGAAAGAATAGATTTACACAACATAGTTGCGCTAACTGTTCGAGTCCAATCTGTAAGGAACATACTGCTTCCACAAGATATTTGTGTGTCGAGTGCCACGGAAAAAATGCCTACGAGGATTCTGATTCTTAAATGCGCAAAACTTGAAATTTACCTCAGAATTTTTCTTTCGTTACTAGTTTTAAGCACAATTTGTTAGGTTTATTTTCTGATTTATTACCTCATAAATATAGAGTTTGTTTTGTATTTTTTTATAGAGAATATATGTCTTGTTTCAACAACCATACTGTATTTTTGCATCAAAATTCATTAATAAACAGAACAAAAATGTTTATAACCCGAATTTCTCAATGTTAGAAAAAATCTAACACGCGACCACTTACGTACCGCGGGCTAACGCGACCGCTCCCGGGTTAAAATGTAAAATGATGATATTTTCTAACAATAATAATTTTAACTCTCCATCTAACATCGAGCAACTTTGGATTACATGCAAGTTTAGTAATAAAACTTTTGCTTTAGGCTGTATATATCGACCACCAGCAGGAATTTTGGATAAAGCTATGAATATTCTTTATAACGTATTACCTAATCTGGTAATCTGGCGCAACAAAACTGATGTAAACTGGAGAAAATACACGAGCATGAGGAATTTTGCATTAAGTTCCATACGCCGGGAAAAGAAAGCTTATTACTCATTTTTATTTAAACATGAGAACGCGTCTCGCTTCTACAAAAAATTATCTGCCATGGGTTTATCAAACAAAAAACCAATTGATATTCCTTGCGAACTAAAAGATTCTACAAATATAAATAATTGTTTTTGTCAGTTTTTAAGGACAATACTACTAATTGTCTAGATAAGATAAATTTCTATTATAATAACAGTTTTATTAAAACAAATTTTACTTTAAAACTCTCCGATGAAAATGAAATCATAAATCTTGTGATAATATTAAATCTAATTCCATTGGTGTAGACGGTATTAGTATACAAATGATCAAACTGTGCTTTCCTATCATAGGCTTATACTTGACACATTTGATTAATAGCTGTCCAGAACAAAACTACTTTCCTAATGTGTGGAAGGAGGCTATTGTTATACCTATCCCAAAGAACAACAGTCCAAAAGAATTTTCAGATCTGCGCCCCAGTAGTCTGCTTCCGGCACTTTCTAAAATTTTGGAAAAAGTTGTATATAAGCAGTTATATGAATATGTCAACATAAATAATATTCTACCTACTTGTCAATCTGGGTTCCGTAAAGGTTTCAGCACCGCTAGCAGCCTTTTACACCTCACTAACAATATTATTAAAGGACTCGACAAGGGACAGAACACCATCTTAACCTTATTAGATTTTTCGAAAGCTTTCGATACCATCAATCACAATTTATTACTAGCTAAATGTCTAGTATAAAGTATTATGGTTTTGCAGTAATGCGATAAAACTTTTCGAATCTTACTTAATTAATAGATCACAAAAAGTGTTGTTGGATCAGGTGTACTCTCCAACGCCTAAAATCACATCAGGTGTACCTCAGGGTTCCATCTTAGGGCCTCTGTTATTTTTAATATATACAGCTGATTTGCCATTAATAATCAACCACTCTAATATAGTCATGTATGCTGATGACACCCAATTATTTCATACTTTTGATTCTGATGATTTAAATTCGATTTCCGACAAGGTAAATAAAGACTTAGACTTAATTTTAAAATATTCAAAATCTCATTCACTAAATATTAATTCAGAAAAAACTAAACTTCTACTTTTCACTTCTAATGTCAAAAGGCACTTTCTCGAAGCTAATCTACAAATCAACCTAGATAATAAACGGCTTAATTTTGTTCACTCTGCTAAAGATCTAGGTGTAATAATAGACGTTAACTTAAGATTTCACGAACATATATCAAATCTTGTTAAGAAGTGCTTTGGAACTGTGCGAAGTTTATATGCAAATTGATATATTCTAAACTACAAAATAAGAAAGAAACTTGTTGAATGCCTAGTATTATCTCAACTGGTGTATTGTAATATTCTATACTATCCATGTCTTGATACCATAAGGTCTAACAGATTACAAAAGATACAAAACTCCTGCTGTAGATTCGTCTGTAAAGTTAATCGGTACAGTCATATATCACCTTTCACAGCTGGTCTAAAATGGTTAAAAATTAGGGAGTTATGCGAATATTATTTGTTAACTTTTATCCATGAATTGCTGGTGGTCGGTGAGCCTGAATATCTAGTCTCAGAACTCATTCCTAGACGTAATGTAATACAAAGATCTGTCAGGCACTCCAATAAATTGACTATGCTACGTCATTTTAAATCTATTTTTATAGGAGGTCTTTTAGTTATAATGCTGTTAAAAACTATAACTCGTTGCCAGAAAGCTATAAAAAAATAACAGTGAGCACATTTAAAAATAAAGTTAAACTATATTTGTTAAATAGAAACCACGCCGTATAATCATAATATGTATATTTTTTATTTGCTGTTCTACTAATAAATCCATATATTATCCATAATAATATAATCAATTTGTAAATTTTATATTAATTTAATTAATTTGTGATTTTCTTTTGTTTTGTACTATAATATGATCTATTTGTATATTTTATATTACTTAATCAATTGTTATTTGCTCTTGCTTTGTTTTTGTTTTGGTTAGTTTTAAGGGGTTAAGTGGTAGAATAGCTCTCTAGCTAAACTTCGCCCTATACCGTTTGTTTCAATTTTTGAGATTAATGAATAAAGACGTTTTATTATTATTATTATATTATTATTATTTTGGTGTGGAACATGTACGAGGTAGAAATAATTAGTAGCAGACACTTTATCACGTTATGGTCTCGAATTGGGTGATTCTATATGACTTATAGAAGATCATCCTATTATAATTCATGTGATACAGAATTATCTAATAAATCTATTCAGTCGAGTATTATGGCCCTTTAGCGGAAGGGCACTCTAGTTGTGCTTATATTTTCCTGGTCATAGATTCATTCTCAAAATTCTTACCACTGATCCCTTTATGAAAAGCACAACCTAAAATATCAGCGTTAAACACAATTAATGACTTTTATAAAGTTATACCAATCAAACTTATTATAAGTCAACATCAGTTTAAATATTACGATACGCCCACAGTGTTACCTATCTGGCACTCTAAATCTAATTCAATGGAACGGGTAATGAAAGAGCTCAGCCGTTTATTTAAATCATCTTAGGTAAATAAAATAGAATTTTCCCAGGTAAATAAAATCAAAAGATTCAGTTTGGTTTCAAAAATAAGGTTTTGTATGATCTCGACTGATTTGAAAGATTCTTTAAAAAAATCAAAGCATAATTGTTTCTCATGGACCTCAGTTAAAAATGTGGAAAATATTAGGGAGGAGGTGAGAGACCTTTTACTCGTACGGGTCCGGCAATTTAAGCCAGAAATTTCCAAAGGCCAATTAGCCATACATTATTTACTACTATTACGCGAATGGCCCACATACGAGTTGACAAATAAAAATATATCAAAGTTATGTCTTTTATTCTCAGGATTATATAAAGTGTATCCAACTGTTGTCCAAATGTTTATACTTTGGATGATCTAGAGTAAAATACAAAAAAAGTCAATTATAATAAATAAGAAATTTAATACACAGGGTGGTCGGAACTGAAAAGTCGTAGTTTGAAAAGTGAAGTGTTTAACGTTTCCAACGATCCAAACAGGATATTTAAATGCGATAAATCCGCTTTTCAGATATGCCCAAAAAGTGGAAAAGTTATTGCTCCAAAAGGGAAACGTACCGCTTATGAGCTTGCAAAAGGATCGGATAAGGAATCGCATACAGTATCAATCTGTATTTGCGCAAACGGAACTATTTTACCGCCATTTATTGTATACATACCGTACAAAAGAATTCCGGCAGATATTGTGAGAAACATATCTGATTATTGATCACTAACGTGTTTTTCAGACGGTAAATATAATAAAACAAAACAAAATTTACTGTTACTTTATTTCTAGATTACCACCATGCTGAAAACAAGATAATTCTAGTAGCTCTTTATCCAAATTCAACTCATATATTCCAGCCATGTGATATAAGTGTATTTAAGCCGATGGTAATCCTACACGAATGTAAACGTAATCATCCTAAGGAAACTCTTAACAAAACCACCTTTCCCATTCTTTTTCCAAGAAGTGTTTCAAAAAGTTACTCCAGAAAGCAGACTCTGCAAAGAACGGGTTTAAAAGATGTGGCTTATATCCATGGTCTCCAGATGGATTTAAGATTTCCAAGAATCCACTTTTTGCAAATAGATTTTTCAAAATGTTTAAAACAATCTTACTAGAGTAAGTCTTTGTGAGTTAAACTTCTGTGCATAGAAATCGGCCCACTGTGAACTTTTGGCTTTAACTGTATCTTTTAGAATATATTTATCACAGCAAGAAAAAATATGAACTGTTCGTCAAAAACAATTTAACATGCTTTGATATGAATATAAATTTATCTCATTTATCGTTTATATGCGTAGCAACGGGTAAACAAATAAAGTTATTCACTGACAGTGTGCACTAATCAAGAAAAAGAAAATATTAAACCTGACCAACTAATCTGGGTTATGAAGAAGCCTACACCCACTGATATATGTACAAGCGACTTCTTTTTTCCTACAGTTGAGACTGGAATACAACTCAAAATGTTTTGATCAGAAAAATGATTATGGCAAACAATAGCCGAGAAAATGAGTTTTTTTCGTAGGAAGCTGATCGAGAGAAGTGCCGGAAAAAATTTGCCAATTTGCAAAGCTTATATATTAAAAATAGGGATGCTTAGAAACAAACAAGGGAAGGCAAACAAATGGAAATAATGGAAAGAAAATTAAATATTAGGATGAATTTAGTGAAATTTTTAAGGACAAAACCCAAAGTTACAGCAATAAAGGTCTATGAGACTTGGCGCCACCTCTTGTGTTATATATTTATTTGACAAAGAATATCTTAGATTAGATTATCTAATTAGGTAAGTAACAATTATATTATTTTTGAACACTATTTTATATTCTATATTTTGTTTTGATACGCATAATTTGATTTCAAGTCAAGTGACTATACATTTTTCGTTTTATTTATAGAAATGGATAATTGGGAAAAAGAACAAGAAAAACTACGTTTATTATGGGAAACAGTAGATGTAGTGGATGGACCGGATGACGAGGAAGAAGAACTGGCTTCAGAGGAAGATGTTCTTGAAACAAGGTCTATTGACAGTGACTCTGAGCAGGATGCTGATGAGAATTGTGAGGAGGAAAATGGCCCGCCTGCAAAAATTTTCAGAACTCCATGTTTTGTTGGAAAGGATGGAACCACGTGGCGTAAACATTGTGCAAGAAAAACAGTAAGAACCAGACAAGAAAACATTATTGTTCGCTTTCCAGGCGTAAAAAAATATGCAAAAAACGCTAAAGCCATCCTTGAGTGCTGGTCACTTTTCTTTACTGCCGATATGTTACAACATATCGTTGATAACACAAATTTATACATTGCCAGAGTAGCTCCGAACTATAAAAGAGATAGAGCAGCTATAAACCGACTGATTTAATCGAAATTAAAGCGCTATTTGGTTTGCTTTACCTGGCTGGTACTCTCAAAAGCAGTAGACTGAATACAAAGGAGATTTGGGATAAAAAAGGAACAGGTGTTGAACGATTCTGGGTAACGATATCTGAACAACGTTTTCGATTTCTTTTGAACTGTTTAAGATTTGAGGATCTATCTACCCGAAATGAAAGGAAGGAACTCGACAAGCTTGCGCCCATAGGAGAAACATTTGACTGTTTTGTACAGAATTGTAAAAATGCCTACTGCATAGGTGCTAATGCAACCATAGACGAGAAACTTGAAGCTTTCCGGGGGCGTTGTGGCTTTAAACAATATATTCCAAGTAAGCCGAACAAATATGGAATAAAAATATTTGCTCTGGTCGATGCTTCAACAACATACTGTACTAATTTAGAAGTTTATGTAGGGCAACAACCCGAGGGTCCCTATAAAGTAAAAAACGATGCATTTAGTATTGTTTCCCGTCTTGTGGAACCAATTTCTGGGTTAAACAGGAATCTCACTTGCGATAACTGGTTCACCAGTATCGCTCTAATTAATAGTCTACTTCAAGAACATAAGATAACGTTTGTTGGAACATTAAAAAAAAATAAACGAGAGCTGCCACCAGAGTTCGTCAATACAAGAAATCGACCAGAATGTACTTCTGTATTTGGGTTCCAGGAAAATATAACAATAGTTTCATATGTTCCAAAAAAAAATAAAAATGTAATTTTAGCTTCATCTCTACACCATGATGATTCAATTGACAAATCGACTGCTGCAAAATTCAAGCCTGAGATAATAACCTACTACAATCAAACTAAAGGCGGCGTTGATAATTTTGACAAGTTATCTGCTACTTTTGATGTAGCAAGAAACACCAGGCGATGACCGATGGTAATTTTCTATGCCTTATTAAATATGGCTGGAGTAAATTCGCAAATAATTTACGCTGTTAATAGTAAGCAATATTCTGTAACAAGACGGTTATATTTAAAGAATCTTGCTCATTAGATCTAACTGCGCAGCATTTGGAACGTCGTTCTTTTGAGCAAAACGTACCCCGAGCAGTACGAGAACGGAGACAAGATTATGCGGGTACATCGACTATTGTACAACCACAAGAAGATATTGTTCCAGGGACTCGAAAGAGGTGTTTCTTTTTGTGTGAAAGACTCAAAAACTAGATTTTTTTGTCGGAAGTGTAAAAAGTTTATATGTCTTTCCCACCTTAAACCTTGGTACCCCGTTTGTTGTGACTCTTTGGAAAATTCCTAAAATACTAAACTTGGTTACTATTTTACTAATTTGTAATAAAATTTTTTGAGTTTGATCCTTATTTTAAGTTTTTCTAAGTAAAACGTCATTTTATGTTTAACTTTTAAATCTAAGAATTTATTTTGTTTATGATATTTGTATGAATTTTGTATGTTCGTTTTTCTACAATAAAAGGCATATATAACAACCACACGTTATTATTTAAGAAAAAAAAATCCGTAAATATAGTTTTTCATACGGGTCTCTCAGACTTGGCGCCACCTTTCATGTCACATAATAAGGCGCCACTTCCGGAAGGTTAAGAACTGTGAGGACTGTTAGTTACTTCGATTCCATTGTTCAAGGAGATCCAATACTGAGAAAATCATTACGAGAAGCTGTCGACCAGGAAAATAAGAATAAATTAAGGATGCTGCCACGCCCTTTCTAATTTGAAGTTCAATAAAACACAAGCTAACTTAATGCAGAATGAGTTACATAGAGGCCACTAGCTTTTTAATTTTAACAGCCAGGTGGTCGGGGTTCAAAGATATTAATAAAAGGGCACCACGAGATTATACTCTATGAACTCGGCAATAAAGATGCAACTATTAAGTAGACTTCAACACTAACCTCGAACTGTTGAGTGCAACTACCATGAACTTCAAATATGCTATAACTCATTAAACTTAAGTGACTCTAACTTAACTATGAGACTAGACTACAAATAATACTACTAAAAATGTTTAAGCAATTTAAAATATTAAAAGTTAATATTTAAAGAAATGGAAATGAATAAAAGTTGAAAAGTAGAATAAAATTTAAATCAAGAAAACTAACTAAAAGTATGACGTCATAATCCCCCTTACTTAAACTAAGTACAATATCCTGGGTGGATTACAAATATCAAATCTAAAATTATACTAATCTAAACAGTCTTACTCTAAGCGTTGTATAAACTTGAAACAACTCGGAAGTTCCTCCGGCTGAGCTACGGTGTATAGCTACAGGGTGGCTACGGCGGTGGACAGCAGCTCGGTGTACTGTCACTGGAGCCCACGGATGTCAGCAGACGTACAGATGCCGGCCAGGTGTAGGACTTCAAAAGGTGAACATAAAAACCCTAAATAATATTGGTTGTCTTAGAAAAGACCCTCAATTATAGAACAAGGACTAGCACAACGTGTAGGAGTTAATAAAGGTAATAAAGAAGGACTAATCAAATCTGAACTTTACCTCAACGAGGGTTTATGATGTCCAACGGGTACCTCTACATGGGCAACAGGATAGAATTCTGGACTGTTCTGTGCTGTACGGTCTGGATCGGTCTTGCTCTACAATTACGAACAACCAAATAAGACTTAAGAAAGATAATACTCAACTAATCTTTCTACACCACGTGGGCGTGGAAAAGTCGAAAACCAGACAACAATATGAACAAAAATCAGTTGAGCATTGACTTAGAATAGGCAGAAGAATTATAGCATACCTTGGAACTATTCGGGGACTTCTTGGGCACGTGGAATCGGAATATCGGTCGGAAAAAGGCTATTTTAATCCCATTATGGAAACTGGTTGGTGGTCCATGAAAATCCCACAAAATACAACCACGTCTCTGACCAAATGTGTTCCGGAAGACTTAATCCTTCACTAGGAAGTAGCAGGTCTTCCTAGTGAAGGAAATCACCAACAGGGAATGCTTCACGAAACGGCAGCCAGTTCTTCACGACGACATTCTTCAGCCGGGGAGTACACAAGAAGTGATGCAAGGATTCGATTTCCTTCACAAAATCAGATTTCAACCGGAAATCTCCCTCCAGGATATAGATAGAGAACTATATATCTTGACTAGTCCAACTCACAAGAAGGCATAAATAAAAAATGATGTTTTCTCCTCAGCCATATTCCATATCCGGTCAATGAACGAACTAAACTCAGAAATTCCACAATCAAATGAACGAATTGCACACTGCGATCCACATCAAAAATAACCAATTTAACTACGAAATTTTATCTGATAATTATAAAATTTCAATAACCAAAACAGAGGATAAATAAATCCAAAAACATCTGATTTGACCTGACAGTGACAAGTGACGGAGGTGATGATCAAAGATATAGAGAGATGGACAAAAAGCCTACTGCTGGTCGGCATCAGTGACAATATATGTATAATATCGCGGTGTATATCGGGTTGCATAATCGTAAAATTTAAATAAAATAATATTTAACAATAAAATTATAGTAAACATGATGCAAAAATAATAGCTATTTGCGATATTCGTCGTTGCGAGGAAATTTGACTGTTACAATTCTTATACAACCATACATGGCGGTGGAAATTAGTAGACGGGATTTTTCCAGGTTATTCGGAGGCAATGTTCAGAAATCCATCAGGTCTAAAAGAAAATTGCCAATATTATCCCAGCTGAAGAACGAATCGACAAGGAAATGTTTAAACGCTACGAATGCATCCAATCAAAATAGATTTAATACTTATAGGTTGTAAATTAAGTAAAATAAACTTGTTACATATACTTTTTTTTCATATGTATATACCCACAATATACATAAATATATAATTTCAGCCCCATCATCATAATTTTAAAAAGTCAAAAACCTCAAAAATGCCGCTATTTTGACAGCTGTCAAAAATTTGGGTTACGCCTTGCAAAATAATGTATTGTCATCGGGACTGAACCTACATGCCAAATTTCAATTTCCTACAATAAAAGGAAGTGGTTCTAATTTAGCTTACAAGATTTGCCCCGAACAAACATACATAGATAGTTACATACAAAGCAAGTTAAATAAAAGCTTATAAAAATCATTTATTTAGCAAAATTTCAAAGTAAAATATATACTCGGTTATTTTGGGACTTTTTGAAAAACGGTAAAAAGAGAAACGTTTCTTTTGACCAGTTCTACCACCCCTTAAAATACTTGCACTTATTTCTGGGACACCATGTATATAACGTAATATAGATTTATAGAGAATCGATAATCTCCCTCTACTAAAAACGAACAATGACCACTTATTTAAACAATTGCGGTAAATATTGCGATAACGAAGAAATTCGTCTCAGTAATTCGCAGTTAAAAAGTTAAGTATACCGAAAAAGCACAAGACATGACAACGTTGAAAATTTTCAATTTTCTAGAATTATATTTGCATAGGAGGTAGAAGGATATATGAAATGTCAAACTTCCAATGTTCCTTCTTTATTTTAAACCGAAGATAAATCGACCGTTTTTTTATATTTCTTTTTATATGCGAAACGAATTTGTGGTTCTGTGTGACCCCCAGGGACCTTATAGAGAAAACTCAAGGTGGACAAAAAGTGCCTTATCGTAAATTTAATAACAATATTTATACAAAAAATATTTGGGTGTGCGGGTGTAATGTAATTAACAGATTATTTTGTTTTTTGTTTGGAGAGGAAACTTGGTGTCGAAAAGGGACAGATGATCTTGGTAAAATAAACATTAAGACACAGTTAAACTACGCATATCGCAACCAATTAATTGAACAAAACAAACAGGTTGATAAAAATCGATATGTGTTAAATCACATAATAAATTGCGTTCGTTTTTGTGGTGCCTTGAGTTAGCTCTGAGGGGCCATGATGAAAAGACGACTTCAGAAAATAAAGGCATATTTGGGGAATTAATAAATTTTAGCTCAGAATTAGACAAAACTCTTAAAGATCATATTGATTAATCAAAAGTTTTTAAAAGAACATCCAAAATAATACAAAATGAGTCTCTTGAATGCATGCTAGAAGTATACCATGAAGAAATTACTAAAAAAATAGAGGATCACCGTTTCTAGCGGTTATTGCTGATGAAACTACTGACGTTGCTTGTGAGTTTCAACTGGTAATCGTTTTTAGATTCTGTGCTGGAAAACCCGTTAAAAAACTCTGGAATTTTTACAATCCAGAAGACCACGATGCTGAATCAATCTCCCAGTGCATACTTCAAGTTTTGGAACCTTTGAATGGAGTACAAACAAAAATAAAAGTAAAATACCCTTCTGCCAACTATGTTCACTGTTATGCACATCGAGTAAATTTGATAATGGCCAGTGCTACTTCCATTAATCCACAGAAAAGATTTTTTTTGTTAACTGGATTTTGTTCTTTTTTTTTCTGTTTCTCCCCAAAGAACTGCAGCGTTTTTTAAACAACTACCACTGCGAACGGCAGCTTTTCATCGGAGAGCAGTCGTGGATAAGGTATTTCACTGGAAAGAAAACTAATTAAGAACAATAAACAAAAAAATAGATATTGGGCGCCAGGCATGTACAGAGAAAGAAAACACAGTTGTATATTACTTAAAACTAATGACTATATTTATTCATGATGAATTCTGATGGTAAATAGCATTGTACAATTTTGATAATTATTATAGTGGTTATTTGTTGAGTAAACTATGTATGTAACAATATTAAATATGTTCTATGAAAAGACTATGAAAAATACAATGCGTGTAACGTTATAGAAAAATATAAGAAAAGTAGCATTACTTATTAAAATTGTTAAATTTTATGCGGTGTTAAATCTGTTGTGTTGCAACCTGTAATGAATCTATGTCTCGTTATTCATCTGTTAATATAGCGCAATAATAATATC